TGCTTCCATGAGGCCCTTCCTCATTCCTGCACACGGACCTCCTTTGCTCCATCCCTACTGTTTGTTTCTTTCCCTGCCACCTCCAGGCTCCATGCTCACTGATCCTTTGGCCCCAGCGCCCTTCTTGCTCGCTTGCCTGGTGAACTCCTCCTTAGCCTTTGCTCACCCCTCCCTTCCTAGGGCCACTTCCCCAGCCCAGACCCCTCAGTTCTTCCCAGCATGCCCTGCTGCTCTGTCCTGCTGCTTAGTACTTGCCTCTGCACCGTGGTGTGCACCCTGCGGGCCCAGCCGAGGCTGTGTATGTCCTTGTCACCCTCGGTGACACAGGCCAGCCCAGGGGCTGCACGCTGAGGAGGAGTGCATGAAGAGAGTCTGGGGCAAGGGTCTGCAAACTTCCTAAACAGTAAATATCCGGCTTTGTGGGCCAGAGGGTCTCTATCACAACTCTGCAACCTGCCGGCTTCGTCAGAAAGCAGCCGGAGACGGTGCACAAGCAGATGGGCATGACAATGAAACCTTATTTACAAAAATGGGCAGCAAGCCGAGTGTGCCAGGCCTCAGTCTAGAGAAACAACAGAATACGTTCAACAGCAAGCAGGAATGTTTCTAAGGGCACTATTTCCCGTGACCAGGGCTGTGGTTTCCTGGGAATTGCTGGTGACAGCAGCAGAAGGTGGTGCAGAGACAAGCCCCCAGGTGAGCCTCTGACAGGTGTGACTTTGAGGATGAAACTTGTGGGTCTCCTGTGACCTTGCCCCATGAGGCTCCCCTGTGGCTGGCAGGTGAAGGCTGTGACCTTGGACGTGGGCGGTGTTGGACAGGGGTGATGGTGTCCAGGCGTGGGGTCTGAATTCTGCTTCCTGTCACTGTGGTTCAGGGGGAGAATAGTCGAACCCCGTGTTGTGAGGGGGTGGGGCACCAGCAGGGAATCGGGTGAGTTCCATAGCGTGTTTGGGAACTGATCACTTGTGCTGAGTGACATGGCACCCCGGTGAAAGAAAGCGTCTAAAAGTCAAGTGTTCGGGTCCTTTCTCATCACGTATCTACTAAAAGGTTCTTGTTGGTATGTCCCTTTTATCCATAGAACATTGCCTTTTTGTAGCCAAAATTGTGACTCTCGTGATAATTCAGTCAGGTGAGAGACTGCTTTATGGGGCTTGGGGGCATCTGAGGCCTGGGAACCACCTCTGAGGGTGGCCCAATGGTGTGAGGGGGCTGCTGGGTGACCCTGGGGGGTGGTCCCTTCCCACTGCTTCTGCTCATTTAATCTGGAGCCACCTGGCCAGGTGACCTGGACAGGACAGAAGGTGGCTGCTGGTGGGTAAGAATAGAGATCCACAGGTTCCTCCTCAGGCTGCCTGAGTTTGGGCATTGGGTGGGGGACACACAGGCCTCCTGGGGTTACATGGCCAGTAGCCCTCAGGCATGGCTGGAGCAGGTGGGGAGGAATAAGGCCAGGCCTCACCTTATACGTGCATGATGGGGACAGAGCCAAGGTACAGCTCCCAGTGCCTTAGCGCGAACTCTGAAGCCGGGCCACTGCAGTTCACGGCCCTGGCCAGTCATTTATAAGCTGTGGGACTTTAGGCAAGTGCTTAATAGCACTGTGCCTTGGTTTCCTCATGTGAAAAATGGGGATGACGAAGGCTCCCGCCCTGAAGGATTGTTGAAGAGTGCTTGGCGTATCATGAGCACTCCATGAACGTCAGCTGCCAGGAGCAGCCCCCTGGAGCAGAGTGTGTCAAAAATCATCAGGATGACCGCCCCCCTCCCCCGCCCAGAGCCCGTCCTGGCTCTTCCCACCAGTCTCCCTTTGAGTCTGAGCTCCACACCCCAATTACAGAGGGGACTCTAGAGTAAGCTGCCCGGATGGCACAAGGCCCAGGGAGAGGGAATGAGTTGCCTGGTTTCTCCAAGGTCAACAGACAGAAGGGACCTTTCTGGAGGAGTTTGGACCCCAGCATGCAGGAGGCCTAGGAGATGGGTCACCTTGCCCAGACAGGTCTGCCCAGCAGCCAGAACCCTGGCCTTCTCAGCCCTTTCTCCACTTTTCCTTTGCCCTGCTGGAAAGGCAGAGGCCACAGGCACCCAGGTCAGACAGGGCTGCTTCCCTCATTGGCATCCGCCACCAGACCCAGCCTGCACCTCCTTGGGGACTTAGAAGCTGTGGGACTTATAAGGGGGAGAGGCTGGGACCAGACCTCTGACCCACCGTTCCTCTGCACAGAGAAAGGTGAGGGGCCGTGTGGGCCCAGGCCTGCTTGCAGGGCCAGCTCTCATTTGCCCTGAGTGAAAGGAGGGTGAGAAGGTGGGGTGGTTGGTGTTTGGTGTCTGGAAGACCATGGAGCTGTTTGCTTCAGTAGTGCTCCTCCCCAGCCTCTGGTCTCTGGGCACCGTGTGGCAGGACCTGGAGCACAAGGCAGGGTGAGCAGCCTGCTGGGCGGGGCCCTGGGCAGCCGGAGGAACGGACTAAGGCCTCTGCCTTCTGGGCGCTGAGGCAGCACGTATTTACTGAGGCTTGCTGTGTGCCTGACACTTGGCGCGGGAATGTTGCCCTGAACCAACAGGTGAAGGTCACACTGTGAACAGGGTCATGCGGTACGGCTCAGAACCCGTCCTTGCTGGGGATGCCCTCGCCCGCCCACGTGCTATCCAGATGCTTTCCCCTTCCCCCCATAGGCCCCAGCAGCCGGGAGGCAGGGTGGCACCATGGTGGCCTAGGCTTAGTCCCTGCAGGTGGCCCGCCTGCCCTCTAACTGTCTGTACCGCCAGCCCTGAGTGTGTTTGACCTCTGCTCCTCAAGTGCCCCAAAGGCAGCCATTCCATCGCAGGGGAGACCTTTTCCCTGGTGTAGGGAAGGCACATCAGCAAAATTAGGCATTGGGGTTTCTAGGTTTCATCTTACCCTGAGAGACCCCATTTTCCACATAAACGACGCCTCATGCTTTATTAGAGTAGGATTATTAAGGAAAACTTGTGGAGCAGAGAACGCCGGACAACGTTCTAATGTACAGATATCCAAAAATTGTCCTCCTCTCCCTGGCCCATCTGTCCGGCTCAGACGGGGGGGTCGGGTGGGATCAAATGTGAGCACGAAGAGCCTGGTGGACTTCATCCCTGGATGGTGGCTGCCACTCAGCATCTTGACAGAGTGTGCTGGGGGGGTGGGGGAGAGGGGAAGTAGAGACCAAATGCAGAGATGATGACTCTTCCAGAGTCTTTTGCAGCTGGAAAAGGGGAGAAGCCGGAGAATGGCAGGGAGAAGGAGGAGCTGCAGATTTGAGGAGCAGTGGACTTTAAGCTTTTTTGTCTACAACATGCCACAAAGCACCCTCTCAAAGCTCCCAAAGGAAGGGCCCACAACCGGGCTGGCACCGTCCTTCCGGGGGGCTGCGTATGAAAGAGGTGTGTCCGTTTATTTTTAAAGAAATGTAATATGGACAAATGGCCATATTTCTGCCAAGCCGAAGTATGGGCCCCCCGTGGAACTAAGTAGAGGCCTCGTGAAATGTGTGGCACCCCTGGTGTTGACATTGGCCCAGCACCCACTGCCTCCCACATTTGAGACTTCGGTCCCTGTGAAAAGTTAAAAGGGGCGGGGGGGAGGTGGGCAAAGAGGAAAAGCCGGCCTGCTCCCCCACTGTGGCCTGGAGTCCGGGGCCCTCGGAAAAAGTCTGGATGAGGAATGATTTTGGAGCTTGGCTCAGCGAGCCTTTCGCAGCCGCCAGTGGAAACTTCCAGGAATGCTGCTCTGGGCCAGCCAGGGGCTGTTTCCGCCGCCACTTTTACGAGGTACAGACCCCCCCCCCCCCCCCACGGCTCCTGGCCAGCACAGGGGGAGTGTGACTATCTCCTTCAGCCCAACCCTGCGTCTCAGGGTGCAGTGCACCTTTTCAGGCTCAGGCCTGTACCCCAGGGTTCAGAGCCCCTGCAGCCCAGGCCGGCTCACTTCGAAAGGGCCATCCGCCAGGAGGAGTAGCCGACATCTGTGCGGGATGCTGTGAGAATTTACAGCAGCCTGAGAGGGAAAACTCCCTCCCCGAATGTTTCAGTGTTTTATTAAATGTATGAAAGGAAAGTTTCCTTTTCACTGGACCAAGGCCCAGAGCCTCCTTGGAGCCTCAGGGAAGGTGGCAAAACCTCTTGGGAAAGCCTACAGACAAATGGGTAAAATTAATAGAAAGTACTGTTTCTTAATCTGACCCCTTCCTGCTGGCTGTAGGCTGCACCGCACAGGGACCTAGCCTGCCTCACTGGCGGCGGACTCACCCCATGTGGGCTGCGGGCCTGGCACACACAGGCACTCACCCCGCCCCCGAGGAGGAGGTGAAGCAGAGCTCAGCCGTCATGGCCAGCATGGGTCGGGCTGGGCGAGGGCTGGGGTTGGCCGTGGGACTGGTGGGCAGGCCCTGGGTGGGGAGTCCTTGAGGGCCATGGGCCAGCTGCTCTGTGGGGAGCACACGGGCTCCCAGACAGCACCGGCCCTCTGCCAGCACTCTGTGCAATGCCAGAGAAGGTGGGCAGGTTTTGTGCAGCCTTGCCCAGCAGCCATGTCTGCGAGACTGGCCCTGGCCCATGAGGCACATGCAGCCCCGACAGCTGGGGGCATTTGGCAGGCCGGACAGCTAGGTCCCCAGGCCAGCCATGCTGGGTGTGCGGGAGAGGCCAGGGAGCCCCAGGGCTCAGCCTCTGGAAGCCAACATGGTGACAAGCGTTGCCAACATGGGTCAAGCTAAGAAGTGCTGGCCACCATCCTGAGTCCCCTCCTAGTCTCCAGGACTCCCTTGAGCTTGGCCTTGTCCTTCCATGACAGGCGAAAAGGGGCTCCGAGACGGAGTTAGAGCCTATCTCCCAGAGGGCATATTCCTGCAATGGTCCTCACTGGACTGACCCTCCTAGGCTCAGGGGTGCTCAGTCACTCACCTCCCAGCTGAGGGGATCCCCGGGGCAGCCCTGTAGCCCCTCCATCCTCTGAAGCCTGACCACCATTTATTTTGCAGACAGTCTCCATCCTGGAGCAGCGGCTGACGCTGACAGAAGACAAGCTGAAGCAGTGCCTGGAGAACCAGCAGCTAATCATGCAGAGAACAACACCGTGATCAGGGGAGCAAGAATCAAGAGCTCGCTCGATTTTGGGGGGTGGCAGGCTGGAGATTTGTACTATGGGACTTGGGTCAATAAATCAAGGGGATTCAGCTCTATGGGACTCACATCTGTCCCTGAGCCCCTGAGGTTATGCCCTTCTGTCCCCACCCGCTCTCTGCCCCTGGAGGCTTGCCACCTGCCAGTGGAAGGCCCCCGTGGGCAGGGCCCGCACATGCAGAGTGGACTTGCGTTTGGTTTAACGTGAAGGAGTCACTTGAAAATGTTTGCTACCTCGGAGTCCTAATGGGCCCGAAGGTCACAGCTCCCCCCGGCTGCTTCACGGGGGTTTGACCCCCCTCTCTGCCTGATGCCTGGCTCTTCCCCACCCACGACAGCTTAGCAGTGGGCTGCCCATTGGATGGTGAGTCAGGAGTTTTTTCTTAATCTGACAAAAGGCCCAATGTGGGCCCATCCGAGTCAGGTTTGTCCAGGAGCAAGCACTCGGGGGGGTGGGGGGGTTCTGCAGTGTGGCCTTGATTCCTGCTCCACGTGTGTTCACTGGGGCCCGGTGGCTTCTGCCTCTGTATGCATGAGGGTGAAGGAATCTGAAATTAAAATGGACTTTATTGAACTTGTCATAAAAGTGGATTGTTCTGAGTGAGATTTCATCAGTCGTCATCCGCACCCCCCCCACCCCCGCCCCCGCCCCAGGCCCATAACAGGAGAATGAAAGGAGTGGCTCTGGGGGGCCCTGCCAGGTCACCCTGGGCATTCGGGATACTCTCATCTGCATCTGGGAACTGGGGGGGCCAGGACGGCCGACGCCCCTGCACAGCACCCACCCCGCTCTGGCCAGCCCTAGCTGGTGTCGTCGATTGGGTCCCGGAGGACTCAGGCACCTGCATTTCCAATTACTCCTGAGGGTCCGCGCGGGGAGAGCCAGGCCGGTGTTCTCCATGTGTCTGGGTGCCGTCCGTGCCTTCAGCATTTGGCTTCTTTGGGCCCAGCCAGCCAGGGAGGTATTTGTCCTTCAGCAGACCTGCCCTGCCCTGGGGGCCGGGGGCGCCGTGTTAGATCTTCTCGGGAACTTGTCAGTACCACGCAGCTAATGAGCTTCCCAGCCTCTGCGGCTTCCAGGTGGGAGCAGAGCCTGAAGGCCTAGGAGCTGGGGCTGACACGGAGGCAGCCTCTGTGGAGCCCCGATGAACGGCGGGAATGGGGAAGCGGTCTCCTCCAGCTGGTGGGGGAAAAGCTGCTCGCAGTCCAGGGTCAGGCTTCAGACTCTGCCTTTGGCCAGGTGTGTAGCCTCGGCTTGGTGACATAACCTCTCTGAGCCTCAGGTTCTTGTTTTAGGCGGGGCTGGTAGGCATCTCTCCAGGTAGTTAGGAGGTAGGCACACTCCCCACGAGCTGAGTGGGGAAGAGGCTGCTGGCTCAGGCTCTTCCAGGGGTTACCCCCGGGGACCTGCCGAGGCCTCCCACGTGACCCCGCGTGTGCAGAAGAGCTGGGCAGGCCTGCAGGTCTGAATTGGCAGGTAAGGCGGTCAGATGCCTCGGGAGGTCAGGGGTTCCCCCTCTGGAAAGGCTTTTAGGGAGTCTGGGCAACCCTAAGTGAGCCTGCTCAGGATGCAGCCTGTGGGGCCGACCTTGTCATCCCCTCCCATGCTGGCTGACCTGTGGTAGCTTCCAGACCTGAAGCTGGAGGTCCCCGTGTTGGGGTTCTGGTGGTCATCTGCAGAGACACAGATGGTGCCCCTAACGGGATGGCGGGACAGGAACCATGTCTCCAGGCATTGTATGGCAACTTGCTCTCGGGCCAGACCAGGGTTACCATCTCCCCGCCTTCAGTGGACACGAGGATTGAGTTGTGAATTTCTCTGTGAAGAAAATGGGGATTGAGAGCCTGCTAGGGATTCGGGAAATGGCCTGGGGTATAGTCTCTGTCCCTGGAAGCCCCGCCCTGGTTAGTCAGCCCCCTCACCACACATGGGTCTGCGTGCTCTGAGACAGCCCACCCTGGGCTCTCGCACGTGGAGGCAGCCACGGGCCCTCCTGAGGGGTTTCCTGCACACTCACGCACCTGCCTTGATGGAGCCCCCAGCCAGACCCGGAGCTGGGGGGAAGATGGTTCTTGGAGAGCTGTGCTTGTCTTTAAAACACCATGGAAACCCACCTCCTCTAAGCCTGAGGGTCAGCGTATGACACGCAGAGGGCAGAGCTAGGAAGGGGCCAGGTTCTTCCCCAGAGTTCCTTTTCTTGCTCATGTGGGGCCTGACTTGGGACCTTACTGCACTGAGTGAGGATCTAGGGGCCCAGATTGTTCCTGAGAGAAAGGGGACAGGAGACCCTAAGGTGCTCTGACCCCCCACCCCCCACCCCGTGAAGGTGCTCCAGGACCCTGCCCTGGGCAACACTGGGCTGGTCGGCTGTGGGGGCCCTCACAAATGAGAGGAGTGTGGGGCCTGGGTGGGCTTGAGGTGGCGTGGCAAGGTTGGGGGCCACGTGACAGGGCCTTTCGGGTGGTGTCTCCCTGTCAGCCCTTGCTGGCATCTCCCCTGTAGTAGGGGCTCCTACCAGTCCTCCCACTGGTGCTGCCAAGCTCAAAAGCAGCCTTCTGGAAATGCAAATGCCTCTGCTCAGCCACCGTCTTTCCTGATTGTGGATTTTGATAACTGAGCTCCGAAAAAAGCCCAATTGCAAGCATCTCTCTTTTTTTTTTTTTTTTGCTAGGAAGGTCAGGTGAGGTTAGGGGGTTTTGTTAGGAGGTATATCTCAGAGGCAATTCCCACCGCCCCCTCCTCTTGTGGCCCAGTTTTCCTAACGTGAACTTAAGGAACAGGTGTCGGTGATTGGTGATTTTTTTTTTAGGACTTTATTTAGAGAGAGAGAGCGAGAGCCTGAGTTGCGGGAGAGGCAGATGGAAAGGGAGAGGCAGACTTCCCGCTGAGCAGGGAGCCCGATGAGGGGCTCGATCCCAGGACCCTGGGATCATGACCTGACCCCAAGGCAGACCCTTAAGTGACTGAGCCACCCAGGCGCCCCTGATTGGTGATTTAAATTGCGACCCCCCCCACCTACCTTTGCCAGATTCTTGGGGTTCCAGGATGAACCTGTACTTCTGCCAGAGACACTGAGGGAGGCCCCTCAGGCCAGCTGGATGACTGAGCCAGCAAGTGGCACCTGAATCCTGTTGTCACCCGTGGCAAGCCCGCTCCCCTGTCATTCCTGAGTCTCCACTCCCCATGAGCTCCTGACAGACCAGCCAGCCTGACCTGGAAACTCTGCCATCTTCCCACCCAGCACCGTCCTTGTCCGTCTGTCCCAGGACCCGCTTGCCACAGATTCATGACCTCTCCGTGCTGGTGGGCTGTGTGCATGCAGGCCACCAAGAGGGCGGAGCAGTGGAGTCAGGGGTTCGCTCTGGGAGTCGGGGGCCCCTGACTCACTGCCCAAGTCCAAATGCTGGCTCTGCCACCTGCTGGCTCTGTGATCTCAGACGAGTTCCTAAAGCTTGTGGAGCGTCCATCTGTAAGATGGTGCCAGTCTAAGCAGGCGCATGAAGAGCTCAGAGCAGTGACTGGCACAGAGTGCGAGTGTGGTCCATGTGTGACCCCCCCCACCAGCCTGGGGTGCTGTCACTTCCGGCAGGTCAGGCCCCTTCCCCAGAAGTTGGTCCATGTGTCCATGTGCTGATGGTCCCAGGGTCCCGCTGGCTCTGGAACTCGTGGCCAGAGTTAGGATCTGTTGATGCTGTGGGCCCTGCCCTGGGCATCCCCAGGGGTGCAGAGGGATTTGGGCCGGCCGGCGGGCAGGGGGTTGCTCAGGGCAGCCCCTCCCCACCCAAGAGGCAGGCACTCTAAGGCCACCTCTTCTGCTGTCACCGAGGCCGCCCCCAGGGCCGGCACGGCCTTGAGGGTGGGTGTTTGTGATTACCCGGAATCCCGGAAACCCAGCCCGCTGAGCAAGCGAGAGCACGGTGAGTCACACTGGCCCTGTTGTCCTGGCTCTCTGTCATTAACCTCATTTTCCTAAATGATTTGCTCAAGATGGGCCCCTGATGGCTCCCGCCTTAATTGGTGTGTGGCCATTTAGGGGGGCCAGAAATCCCCCCGGGACTTCCTACTGAGCACCCCCTGCTCCACACCACCCGCCCTGGGCTGCTGAGGAGGGACCCCCTTGCCAGGACAGCAGTGGCAGGCCGGTGGTGGCCCGGTGGCCCGGGGTGCCGTTCCACTTCCTGTGGGCACTGGGTCCTGGCACAGGGCCCTGTCCCGTCGCCTGACGGGCGCTGCCCACCCCAGCCAGGAGGCCGTGGCGACCTAGGCTCACTGGCTTGGCCACTCTGGGGAAGGCTTTTAGAGGCTTTGCCCCTGACTCCCTGCCGAGGAGGGCCCAGCCCGTGCTCAAGATAGGACTGGAGCCAGGCCAGGGAGACGGGGGCGAAGCCATTAGGAAGTTCATGCCAACCCCTCTTGGGGCTGGGAGCTGCCGTGTGCTCTCTCCCAAGAACCTATTTATAGAGCAAGGCCAAGGAGTGCTTTCACTTTAGGTGAGGCCACCTTGAGCCCCATCTGCCTGGGAGTGCTTTCTGGTTGCAGGAATGCCGCCCCCCCGACCCCCATTCTCCTACCACCTATGAGAGACCGGAGTGCTGGCATAGGGAACCTGGGCAGGAAAGGAAGTCATGTTCTACAACAGCTTCCCTTCCTCGGCCCTAAGCTTCTCCATCAGGCACAGTGCGTTGGACTTGGGCATCTTCCGTGGGTACCCGGTAGGTAGGGGGCTGGCCCACAGGAGCCAGGGCCCACGCTCTGCCTCGCATCCCGACATCAGCCCTGGTCCATCTCCATTCTCCTCCCACTGGCTGCCCGGATTCAGCTTTGGAATCTGGACTGCCTTCAGAGCCAGGGATGCCCCTGAGCGTTGGGGGCCATGTTTATCCAGTCTGTGTCGCTCTCCTGGTCTCAGGCCTGGCCCAGGGCACATGCACCCCACTGATGCTCTGCTCCCCTCCCCGGGCAGGTCTCTCTAGAACCACCTAGTTCTAGAAGAACTGTGATGCCCCACCCCACCTCTGCACTGAGCCCCTTAAACCCTGACCGCACCCAAAGACATGCCCTCCTGCCTGTTGTGCCCCCCCACTCCCAGCTCAGCTCCCAGAATCTTCCTCCTGTGACAACTGCTCCTGGATTGGCTCCTCAGAAGCCTCGAAAACTGGGAGCCAGAGAAGCAGTGTAATTAGTCCTCCAGACCCTCCGGGCAGCCTCTCTGTGCCTGCTAACTGGAAACAGAAGGTGCTTTCTGTCGCAGAGCCCTGGGCCAGCCCATGTCTGGGCGGCTGCCGTGGACTTCTTAGCTCAAACTGGGAAGCTGACCTTTGATCCTGGGTTGCCCTGGTCCTAGCGTTGGGTCTAGCACCCCTGGTAGTTAGGGTGTGTTGGAGAGCCGTTTGTGAGACCCCACAAGGATGCCCATGCCTTTTGAGAGGTATTCTACAGTTTCCCATTGGGGGATAAATGCCTCTGTTTGGGGTAGCCTCAGCTGCATAGGCTGAGGGATGGGAGGGATGGGAGCCTCAGGCTTGTGCAAGTCAGGTGAGGGCCCTCTCAACCTCCCCCAGAAGCTTGGGCCTGCCTACCAT